CCCCCCTTTTTTTTTTTTTTTTTTTTTTTTTTTTTTTGTTCTAAGACACAGTTTCTCCTACTGTTCTTTATCTCTCCTTTGCTCGTGTCTGCTTGTTTGGCTGGCTGCATACTGCCACCTATCACTGCACTTTGGTGGTGCTTTTTGTGTAGAATTAGGAAGTAATGCAGAATCCCTTACTCTCATATCTGACAAAAGCAACATTTTGGTACATTTGGCTACTTATTTTACTTCAGTTAGGGAATGGTGTATGGAATTTTTAAAGCTGGATCATATTATGGGTGCGTTTAATTTCTTCCCAACGGTCTTTTATTTCAAAACTGCCAGCCCTGGAGCCGCAGTGCTTTAACTCTAGTTGTCATGTTCTACGCTGTGGACAGCCCTGCACTTCTGGCTGTGAAGAAGGAGTAGAGATCAAGCAAAAGATGCATAGGCTGTCTCCTACTGTGTAGAATTTAGGGGTTTGAGATATCTTTGAATGATGCTCTGTATTAGAGCGCCTGTCGGTGGTGGTGTTTCTGTGATTTCACAGGTGATACAGAAGTGCTGGGAAATTTCTTTTGGAAATTTTGTAAGTGAAAAGAAGACTACTGTGTAATTACTGTGCTTGGATGATAGAATCCTTGCCTTTTTTTTTTTTTCCTTTCAATTTACATGTTGTAAATGTTGACATTTTGGTTATTCAATTACTTGTAGATCATAGATCATCATGCCTGGAAGAAGAAGAGCTAAATTTATTTATTGATGTGGACTGTATGCATACAGAAGCAATTATGACTCCTATGCCTGAAGGATTATCACAGCAGCAGGTAGTAGGTTTTTGCAAATATGGTCTTCTGCCTCTTTTTCCTCCCCTCTGCTCTGCATCAACAGCTCCAGGTGCCTTGCTCTTCAAACATATTGGCATTTAACATAAATTAAGTGGACATAAAATTCAGAACTGAATAAATAGGATTTTTAGAATTGGTATGTGTGCGTATAGTTGCATCAACCCTGAATTCAGACAGAGATGTAAAATGTTGTTTTGCATTACAAAATTATCTGTAATAATTATACTAGTTCACTGCCTGAGCACTTAAACTAAATATGATGGTTTTGAGTGACAAAGAAGAGAGTTAAAAAAATTTTATTGCTCCAGGTGCTCTAGGATTTCTATTTTAAATCTAGAGAATATCCTGTATATTCTCTGATTTTAAGGTTTCTCCTGGTTAAAAGAACCTTGTCCCCAGTCTACTTCAAGCCTACAGAAGAGTGTATTTTGCTGTTCTCCACCTCAAACTCTATAGTCACTGTGGAAACCACTTCAAAAAAACCTCTGAAATCAGCATCAGTTGGAAATTTGGGCTGAAAATAAATCCTGTGGGTTTGTGTTACTGTGTTGTTATGACAAGTAATAACTGTATGAGAATTTTTAGCTTCTTGTGGTGTCAAGTCATGAGTTGGTCAGTAGCTTCAGAAAATGAGCAAAACAAAAAAAAATAAAGGGGCAGTTGAGGAGACCCGTAGAAGTGTTTTTGTTTGCTTGGTGAGGTTTATTTTTCTAATGTATTTAGCACAGCGAAGTGTTAATCTTGTAACAGTGCGACTATCAAGCTGTGTTACATTAAGTTTTCATTTTAATGTAAGACCCGAATGCTGTCTTTTCTTCTTTCCAAATACAGGTTTGAAAGTTTCACTGTTTTGTTTTTGTTTTTTTTTTTGTTTTTTTTGGGGGGGGTTTTTTTTTTTTTTTTTTTTTTGTTTGGTGGTTTTGTTGGGGTTTTTTTAAGGTAATTAAAAATAAATGTACCTTCTTTTGGAAAAGTTTAGAGCTCTTAGTTTGGTTAAACGAGTAATTGTTGTGCAGGTCATGATGTGTGTTGCTTATCCACCCAGGAAGAGCTGCCCAGGTGGGCAGGGATGGAGTTAGGAAAGCCAAAGCTCAACTGCAGTTGAGCTAGTGAGGTGTGCAGGGAACAGTGAAAAGTTTCTTATATGTACATTGGCAGCAGAAGGAAGGCTAAGAAAAGTATGGGTCTGCTGCTTGATGGGGCAGGGATCTTGTGTCAGAGGACACTGAAAAGATAGACGTACTTGATGCCATCTTTACCTCAGCTTCTAGTGGTGAGCTTTGTCCTCAGGTCTCCAAATCCTCTGAACCTAGAAGCAGGTCCCGCTGGAGTGAAGCATTATTTGCAGTTAGGAGGTACTGTGTCCAGTTGGATATACAGATGTCCATGGTACCAGGTGGAATGGATTTAAGGGTGCTGAGGGTAAGACCTTTCTCTGTGATACATGATCATAGTGATCAGATGACTGGTAAATGTCACACCCATCCTCAAGAGAGCAAGAAGGAGCAAAACTAGGGTGAGGCTGGCCTCACTTCAGTCCCTGCGAAGATGATGGAGCAAATGCTACTGAGAGCTACTTCTGAGTACAGAAGGAGACAGGAGGGTGTTTGGGAAGAGTCAGCATAGATGGACCAGAGTCCATATGTGCCTGACCAGCCTGAGTCTCTTTGAGATGACTGGCTTGTGGACAGAGGAGAGCAGAGGGTGTCATTTACCTCTGCTTTAGCAAGGCTGTCATTGGCATGGGTGGACTAGAAGGTGGGTGGAAAACAGGTGAGGACACCATACTCGGGGTGGTAGTCCACAGTACAAAGTCCGGTGGGTGGCCAGTGTTAGTAGCGTTCCTCAGGAGCAGGCCTGTGATGTTTAATGCCTCTATTAACGATCCAGATGCCACCTGCGGTGTGTGTTTGGATGCCATGCCAAACTGCAGGGGTGCAGCAGGCCATGCGTGGGAGGGTGGGTCTGCTGGTCAGCGTGGCTTTGATGGGCTGAGGTTGGCAGAAAACTCGGGCAGCTCGACAGAGACCAACACAAGTCCTGGCTGTGGGATAGAGTCACCCTGTGCCACAGCACAGGCTGGGGGCCAGCGGGCTACACAGCGGCCATGGGTGTCCCAGCTGCAGAGGGTGAAGGCCAGAAGCTCCTTCCAACCTGGAGTGCTCTGCCATGAACCAGCTGACTTCACGAATGTGCTTGTTTTAAACAGCAGGTGGCACGATAAGTTCTGTTTGAAACCTGGTGCCTGTTAAATACCATGTCCTGCATCTGGGTTGTGGTAGCTTCCGCTTCGGTTTAATACTGGGACCTGAATTCTTACAATTAGTTGTTTGTGTTTGTATGCTACTGCTACCAGCAAAAATGTGAATCTAAATGTAAAACTTGCATGCAAGCCTCTTGTAAGTTGTGCTTATCTATTGAAATAACCGGTAGGCACTATTAAGTGTCTATTTTGTGTATTATAGAGCCTGAAAAAAAAAAAAACTTCTACAGATGTCTGTTCTTTTCAGAAGAATGAACTGTGACTAAAAGTAGCGTTAAGTCTCCTTTACCAGAGCAGCTGATACATTACACTGAATAAGACACTGCTAAATCTGTTCTAAACACAAATTAGACACAACTAATTTTACCGTATATACCTTTAAGCAAGGCCTCAGATAATTTTGAAGTCTTCCTTTGAAATGCCAGTACTTGAAAGAAAATTTATGCATAACCTGCACTTAAACTAATGCAAAATATAAGTGTGGAGAATTAAAGGCAGCATTGGCAGAGGAGGCAGGAGGCTGTGGGGATCAGGAGCAGAGAGAAGCAAGTCTGAGATTTGAGTTTCATGGTCATTTATGCTGGTTTAAAATAGCAAAAAAAGCAGTTTTGCCTTCCCTTGTAGTTGTGGGGGGTGGTTTGATCCTGCCCTTGTGCCGTCTTCTCCTTCAGAGTCCTGCTTTTGAAAGCCCTGGGATGAGCTGCATTAGGAAATGGATTTGAGTGAAAACAAATCCTTAAAACCAGCAAGAAATCTAGTCAATAGGACTAAGAATTTTAAATTTTAAAACAAATAGGTTTCCTCATCCTTCCGGTCATGTCACCTGTGCATGCATACAATGTGTGTTTCAGCTGAATTGCAGAAGCAGGAGGTGGAGAAGGAGGTGTGATAAATAGCCTGTAGTTTGTAAACATGAAATATGGTAGTACTGCCTGAAGCTCTTACAACTCTATCAATTGGTATGAATATAAATGAGACAGAGTTTTCAGTTATGTGTGGTAATACCCAAAAAAGAAAGCTGACTTACTCAGATACTTTCTCAAGTGGTTCAGTTTATATGGCCTTACATTAAAAACGCAATTAATGTTTGCTTGTTTGTCCTTCAGGTTACTTGTAATAAATTCATAAAAGATATTAAAAAAAAACCACAACAACTTGAAGACTGATTTTGAAAACTGGTTACCTATTTTGTTGCAGCAATTCACTGAAGTTGCCAATAACACCTGTACCTACTATCATTTATATTAATGTTTAAATTTATATATCTCAAATTAAAAGACAAGTTTCAGAAATAAAGCTTGGACTTGCAACAGTCAGCAAAGATTATAGACGCAGGTACAATAACTGTTGTGTTCTTTAAAATAAATAAATAATTTTAGAGTACTAGTAAATTTAATTACTTTTGAAGAGGTACAGTATGATTTTATTGCAGTACCAGAATTGAAATTGCTTTGTTATGTCTTGTGTTTTATTAATGTGAGAACTTTATCATCAGCATTCTCCACTAAGATATGAATGTGTTACTTGATCAGAGCTTCAGACAAAACTTTGTTTCTTAACAGGTTGTGAGAAGGTATATATTGGGCTCTGTAGTTGACAGCGAGAAGAATTATGTGGATGCTCTCAAAAGAATCTTAGAGGTACCTTAATATCTTTTGCATTTTATAATATGGAAATTTGAAGAATAGTGAAATCCTTGCTATCTGTAGTATGACTCATACAGATTTTGCTACAGAGGCTTCATGCCAAATGTTTAGAGATTTTGTGTGTTAATACTGTTATATAAGTTGCTTTTTTCTGCTTGTAGAAGACCCTTTTTGTTTGTTTAAATCTTTTTTTTTTTTTTTTTCCCCACACAGCAATATGAGAAGCCCCTTTCAGATATGGAACCAAAATTACTGAGCGAAAGAAAACTCAAAATGGTCTTTTATCGAATTAAGGAAATTCTTCAGTGCCATTCAATGTTTCAGATTGCGCTGGCGAGTCGTGTATCTGAGTGGGACTCTGTTGAAATGATTGGTGATGTCTTTGTTGCTTCAGTAAGCAAATGCATCTGAACAGATATCTTTAGGCTTGTTACTCCATCTCCATTTCTCTCTGTCTGACTTGGCCACTTCATTCCCATATTCTCCAATGCCTGTGGCAACTGTCAGAGTATGTATGTACCATCCTGGTAAGGAAACTGACACCAACACATGTCTTCGGCTTGGTTGGGAGATGTGAAAGGATTGTGGGCAAAATTTTCAGGCTTTGATCCAGCTTTCAGACATTTAAGTAAACAGTTTCTTTTTCTGAGGTGATAGAGATTAAAAAAAACACCAAAATTAAGGTGAGATTGAGACTCTTAAAAAAAGTAGGTAGTCATACATAGTATGTTTGTTGGGAGTAGAATAAAACACAGTAGGTGATGTCCTGAATTCCTAGGTTTGAACGGAGCCTGAGGCACAGGTAAAGAGTATATGTAAAACACTATCCCACCCTTAATGGAAGTTGAAGTAAAGGACTTCAGCTAGCCACTGCTTTACATTAGAGAAAACAAGAAGTGGCCTTGGTTGATAGAAATATGTTGTTCCTACTGTGAGTATGTGGATGGAAAAGGCTGCTTACCTGCTGGGCTGAGTCCTTTGTTTGGTTGCCACCTCGCTGCTGGAAATTGGCACCTTTTTGTGCCTGCTGTAAGAGAGCTGGGATCTATGTCTCTGAGTGCTTTGGCCCCATTTTGATCAAAATGAAATGGTTACTAAAGATAGGCTGTTTAAAGCAGACCTGTATTGTTTTGACTGAAGCAAGTTAGGTAGCGTAAATCAGACCAGCTCTGCAGAAGAGAGGGCTAAAATTACTCAGGAGGTAATTGCCAGCGATCTTAACATTCACATGGCTGCTTGCAGGCCACACAATCTGTCTGCGTTCCTGGTAAACCCTTACCAGCTGAAGATGGAGCATGAAGGCCCTGGGACCTCACTGGTTCACCAAATCTGGAAGATAGGCAGCAGTGAGATGATCAGGGGATCCCAGCAGCCGCTTTGAAACTCAGTGGGTACCCTTTGATTGCCCATAGTCCCCAGGATCTGCCCTAGTGTTGTAGCCAAGATGAAGCTATTTCTGTAAATTTACATTTTGTAATTCACAGCTGTTATATCTTTAGGATTCCACCCTGCCTTCTCCAGAAGGTTATTTGGGGCATCACCAGTATTTCTGTAGATCCAGTGGTAGGCCAAGCAAAGCCCTTAGCTCTGAGCAAGGCAAGTCCTTAACGGTCAGAGGTTTAGATAGTTACACTTTCAGGGATCTTGTATTTGTAGTTAAGGTTTGCCCTTTTATGTTTTCAGTTTTCTAAGTCTATGGTATTGGATGCATACAGCGAATATGTAAACAACTTCAGTACAGCAGTGGGGATTCTCAAGAAAACGTGTGCCACCAAACCTGCCTTTTTAGACTTCTTAAAGGTGAGTTTGTTCAATCTTAAAACAGCTGGTCATATGATATAAATAAGAGTATGAAGTATAAGTTAGGAGGAAAGTTGCTGATACTGTGTATTCTGTGACTGTTTTAAGGACTTTGGTTTTATGTTTTATTGGTTTGGCACAAAAAATCCCCAGAGAATTCACTTCCACTACTGTATTTTCAGAATAATAACACGATGTTAGATCTAGGATGTATTTTGAAGTGCACAGTGGTTTTGTTGTTGTTCAGATCAGCTTATTGATGTTTACATGACTGCACTACGCAAAACATTGGCATTCTTTCATAGCAGGTGAGTTTCAAATAATAGTTCAGCATCGGAGGCCTCTTTTTATTTGAGGTTTATTTTACTTCTAACTTCTTTATTGTATTGCACAGAGCAGAAATGCTGTGAATCCCTAGGGATGATACTTTATCAAGAGTGCACAAAATCCCAAACATACAGACTGAGTGATGAGTGGCTTGAGGCCAGCTCTGAAGAGAAGGACTTGGGGGTGCTGGTGGATGAGAAGCTCAACATGAGCCGGCAATGTGCGCTTGCAGCCCAGAAGGCCAACCATGTCCTGGGCTGCATCAAGAGAAGTGTGGCCAGCAGGTTGAGGGAGGTGATTCTGCCCCTGTTCTCCACTCTTGTAAGGCCCCACCTGGAGTACTGTGTCCAGTTCTGGAGTCCCCAAAACAAAGACATGGACCTGCTGGAGCCAGTCCAGAGGAGGCCACAAGGATGATCCAAAGGCTGGAGCACCTCTCCTACGAGGTCAGGCTAGGAGAGTTGGGGTTGTTCAGCCTGGAGAAGAGAAGGCTCTGGGGAGACCTTATAGCGGCCTTCCAGTACCTGAAGGGGGCTACAGGAAGGCTGGGGAGGGACTTTTAACAAGGACATGTAGTGATAGAACAAGGGGAAATGGCTTTAAACTGGAAGAGGGTAGGTTTAGATTAGATATTAGGAAGAAGTTCTTGACTGTGAGGGCGGTCAGACACTGGAATAGGTTGCCCAAGGAAGTTGTGGATGCCCCCTCCCTGGAAGTGTTCAAGGCCAGGCTGGATGATGCTTTGAGCAACCTGGTCTAGTGGAGGTATCCCTGCTGATGGCAGGGGGGTTGGAACTAGATGATCTTTAAGGTCCCTTCCAACCCATACCATTCTATGATTCTATGAAAATCCATTGCAAGGCTTTTAGGCTGTCTGTAACACTGCTGAGATCCTGGAGGCTCTGCTTGTCTCATTCTCGGGGAGTCCTGGATTGAATTATTCCTCTCAGAGCTGTCACCCTGCCAGGTCTGTTGTAGTAGTCCACCAAACACTGAAATTAGGTGCCCTAGGCAAATGAAATAGTGAAGCTCTTGGGTTACCTAGAAGGGAGTGGCAGGGGGCTGATTCCTAATCTGTCTTCAGATCTTAAAATTACCTAACAGTTTTTTGGACTGTGTCCAGCAGTACACAGGATTATATTCTGGAGGCCTTAGGCACCACAAAGATCAAAATCTCTAGTGAGTGTATAGTCACTTCATACCTCTCACACTGTTTAAAGCCTGTTGTTCCAGTAGAGGCATAACTTACACTGCTCATCACTGCTTGTCATTGCCAGCACTGGTACTGCTTAGAGCTGGGAACTCACAACAAGGGAGTTGTGAGTCAACTCCCTTGACTGAAGGCAGCCCATTCCAGTGCCTG